CCATGCTTTATAGCTAGAATTAGTACTTCAGATTGTTTCAGCCTAGTAGAAACTAAAACAGATAGAGACTGATCACTCAAATTTAACAATCCCCAAATACTCATATTTCCACTCTTTCAGGAGTAAAAAACATAAAAGGGCCCGCTCCAATTCTGGAGGAATTGTCTTTTATTACAAAAAAATCTATTCAAATGGCATATAACAATTACCAAGTAGTAGTGAAGATTTTATCTGGGCTCGTTTAGACAAAGATTTCTTCAACCTTGACGAAAACATTTTCCTTTGCTCACTTTACTTAATTAAGTCCACAACACTCCAGCATCTTTGATTGGAAAGAATCAGACTTTTTTCAACTGTTGGAAAAAGACATTAGTAAATATTCAAAATTTGGCTCAGTAGTTCTAACGGGGGACTTCAATGCACGGACCAAAAGTGAAAAAGATGTGGCAATTTTTGACAATTCAATATTCGTTTCTACAAATACAGACAATTCCTTCAAAAAACGAGCCTCTTAAGAACCAATATGGCAATAAACTTTTTGATCTATGTATTGCCACAGACACTGTCATAGGGGATCTTACTGGTAAATATACATGTTACCAGAGTCAGGGTAGTAGCATTGTAGATTATACAATAGTTAGTAGAAATTTATTTAAAAATATTTCTTTATTTTATGTACATCCTTTTGAATTTAACCTTGTCAGATCACTGCCAGATATCTTACCACATTCAAACAAATGCCTTGCTAAAAATCTCTATCACTGATATGTTGCATACAGGTTCCCCAAAAACTTTAAAACAGCAAAAATGCATATATATTTGGAACGAGAAATCAAAATTTCTTTTTAATGAAGCACTACATTGCAAAGATATGTGTAACTTAATCAATAACTTTAATTTAACTGATTTTGATAACTCTCAACAGGCAGTCGATACAGCCACAGATCTTCTCTCGAATATTTACCATGCTGCAGCCCGTAAAAGTTTAACAAAACATAAGGTAAAGACAAAAAACCCAAAACATAAGAATAAGAAAAATAACCCTAAGTGGTACACTTGTGAATTGACTAAGCTCAAGAAATAAGTTCATAAAATGTCAATTAAATTATCATCTAATCCGTACAACAAACAGCTCAGATCTGAATGCTATAATATGAAGCGAAAATATAAACAGCTTGTAAAAAAGAAGAGGCGAGAATACAAGAATAATATACTAACTAAACTAGACACAATGAGTAACTCGCGTCCTGTAGAATATTGGAATTTAATAAATAAACTAAAGGGAGGACAAGAAAATAAGTTATGTGATAACATTAATGCTGAAAAGTTGTATGAACATTTTAAGATACTTCAATACAGATGAAATCCCATTTGACGACACCTAAAATAGAAACTGACAGCCTAAAAATTACACCTATTACCATTCTGGACCAAAATATCTCTCATTAGAAATTCAAACTGCATCAGTGCTTTAAAGAATAGAAATCTCCCGGTGAGATAGCATACAAAT